TAACAAGAGAAATGTATGGTAACATTTTGACCTTGAAGTGACTTTTAATCTTTAGAGACATGTGAAAGAGTGTGCGCGCGCGCATGTGTGTTGTGTTTACAAGTTAGCCCCTGATTTATAATTTCACATCCTGGTCTTCAAATCATGTAAGGGATTTTGGAATCTCACTCCTGATCTTTTTGATGCCTAAATCATCTATGATGAAAGCTTTAGAATTGCCACTATTTGTTTTTTTTTACAATTAGGGCCATTCTTTTGGTTGCTCAGTAACACACACATAAGGAGATTGGATATAATTTGTGCCATGCAATCGTGATAATGGAAGGTAAAGATAGAAAGAGCCCAACAAGTTGGGATATAAATCGGTAACCGTTGCACGTCCAACACCAAAGAGAAAGAAACCCAAGGCAACCTCGAATAATCTTACTTCTTTCCTTTTTTGAACATTCCAAAATAATCTTCACTCTCATTAACGGTCTGTTTGGAATGGGAAAAATGATTTCTAGAAAACGACTTCTGGAAAATGAGTTATTTTTTAATGGGATTTTGTAATATTCATTAGTTTTTAAAAAAGAAAAAAGTGAAAAATGAATTGTAATTTTATAACTTCCAATGAATTGCTATTAGCAAAGTCTACAAAACCATGACCAAACACTTGAGAATTGAAACTATTAGTAAGTCTGCCATGACCATGAGAAACATCAAAACCGTCTATGTCTAACTTTGGTCCTAATACTAAATTCCAAGTAATCTCAGGAATGTATAAGGTATCATAAAGTTTAATACATAAACTGGTTTTCATTATTAATTCTAAGGTTCCCACGGTTTTGACAGCTAGTTCTGTTCCATTCCCTAATTTAAGCGCTCTTCGATTTCTTTCTAACTTCTGGATTGTAAGGAATCCCTAAAGTAAGTTGGTTACATGAAGCATAGAAACAGAGTCAAACCAACATGTATTAGTTGGAACATTTAAATTAAAGGACTCAAGTATCATGTAAAGATGATTACCTTTCTTTGTCAACCACTCTTTAAAGTCTTGGTAGTCTTTCTGTCTATGTCCTTCCTTGCGGCACAACTTGCAGTAAGACTTCCCTTTGGAGTTATTAGAGATGGATGAAGCACTTGCATCACGTTTCTGGATTTTAGAAGCTTCCTTCTTTATCGACATTGCCCTTCTTCTTCTCTAGATTAGCAGTCATGAGGTAAGCCACATTCGGTTTGTCTAGCTTTAGACGCTCTTCTTCTTGTACACACATATCAATCAACTCATTCATCGACCACTTGACCTTCTGGGTGTTGTATTTGACCTTGAAAGCTTCAAAAGATGCATGAAGAGAAGTCATTTTGAAGTGTACCAGAAAACCTTCACTGACCTCCATGTCTAATCCCTTAAGGTTACGGGCCTTGTCGTTCATCATCATGATGTGCTCACGAATGCCGATATTCCCGTCGTATTTCGTAGTCACCATCTTCAAAATAAGAGTACTAGCATGTGCCTTAGAAGTTGATTTGAATTGTTTCTCCACGGAAGCCAAATATGTTTTAGCATTAGATGAATCTAGAATACATCCTCTAATGATTATGTTATTGGAATTTTTAATGAGCATAAGAGCCATTCTGTTGCACCTCTCCCATCTCTCATGTATTATTTTATCTTCAGCAGTACTTTTATAAATGAGGGTAGTAGGGGCAGGCTCAGTGCATAATCAAAATACAACATGCCAAGAGTTAGCATCAGTGAATCTTTCCAAAAAGAAAAATTCGCAGCGTTCAAAGTTTCAATTCCCATATTTGGGGCTGATAGTGGATTCAGATGAGAGAAATAAGACACATAACTAAAGAAGAACTTAAGGGGTAATGAACTAAGGCTAGCGAAGATAAGAACCATTATATTGTAATGAAGCTGTGATAAAAGTCTATTATAACACCAAAATGATAGACTAAATTTAATTCTACTTAAACAAATGACTTTCACTTTGGTTATGACCACTTATTTAAGTATTAAGAATAATAAAATAATGATGTGCAATTTGAATGTAACACATCACCTTTAGGCAGAAGTGAAACATTTAAATTTTAATGCACATATATATTTTAATGCTATTCTTGGTAAAATAAATTTGTAAATAAGGAAATAGAATATATCATTCAAAAGTGAGATATCCCAAACAATTTAAGGAAACCCAATTATATTCCAAATCAAATACCAAAAAAATTATTAAATCAAACAAAGGATGAAGAATTATGTACTCCTTATGATTTATCAAAAAAATTATACTTACTAACATTCAAAATAATAAAAAATAAAAAAACAAAAGTTTTATGGATTAAATTTTGAAGAAAGTCCGATCTAGATTTGTAGGGAATCAAAACATTTATATTGATTTCCAAACTAGATTAATTTGTTTTGTTCGATGTCAGTAACAAATTATTGTGGCATATAACTAAATGATTTTGATAAAACAAGAAACACCACAATTATACGGAGTAGTTTATTATTATTATTATTATTATTTAATATGAAAACCGCAATACAGTTTCGTTAGGTTTAGGGAAAAAGAAAAGAAAAAAATTCTGATCCGATTTTCAATCCATGTAAAAAAACTGATTTTGATTTTAATTCCAGTTTTTTTATTTTGGGAAACAAAAGAATTGATTAATCAAAACAATCGCTCCAATACCACATGTTGATCAATTCTTAAACATAAAATACAAATTAGGAATTAAATCATGTATACCTGATAATCCTGTAAACGTAGTTAGGGATGAGGCCATGATGCTGATGCAAATCGAGTTCCAGTTTAAGGTGTATCATTATGATGGCTAAAGTGAGAATGAGACTCACGAGAATAGAGAGACAAAGAGGAGGCGTAAGATTGGTGTGTTTAAATCTCTGCCTAATGGCCTCTATATATATCCCCCAAGGGGAATTCCTAATTAGGTCACAAGGGCAATTACGTCCATCGAATAATTACCAATTAAATACGCATAGTATTTATTAGGTCAATGATCAATTAATTAGATAAATGATAACTCATGCCACATAATAAAATCGTGTCCTACATTTTAATGTTTTAATTCTACTTTAGTTTTTTTCTCTTTTCCATATTTAGTCCTTCATTAATAAATATTATGCTTGTGGTTTTTCTTTTATTAATGTCTTTATACGCATAGTGTTTTTTACCTTTTGTCATGTTGGTATTAAATTGAGTGGTAAAAGGATTATATATCCTTATTTTCATATTCAATGTCGGGATCGTTGCTATGCGTCGTTTGTCAACTAGAGTCGATGTCTACTATGTATGATATGAACTAAAAGAAATTGACCATAGGTGTTTGGAGTAAAATCTGCACATAATGGTGCGAAAATCTATTTTGAAACAGGAGCTCTAAGTGCCCGGGTATTGGTATATTGTCAATTTTAAGTTTTCTTAAACCTTGAGTGTTTACATATGATCTTTTATGGGCTGAAAATTAAAAAATTATGCATTCTTAAGGCTGATTTTTGGGTACTAATGGAAGAACTCTGCACTTCTCAATCTGATTTTTGAGCTGAAACTAAAAAATATGCACTATGTAAGCTGTTTTTTTGAGTGTAGAATGCAAATTTTACACTTTTCACAACTTATATGTGCTAAATTAGAAGAAAAAATCTATATATTTGAAATCTGATTTTTTGTTCTTCAATGTTAAAATACTTGGTCTTAGCCTTCTTTTGTAGAATTTTTGGCCCGAGAAAAGCATGATAAGGAACGGGGAATGATGAATTGATGCTGCGTATACTTTTTAGTTGAATCTCCCCATCCCTTCTCTCTTGGCTTATTCTCTCGGTTATATCATTATTATTTATTTGCATATCATTTAGATGCATCGAGGACTATGCATATTTTAAGTGTGTGAGGAGGTTCTCATGTTTATGCCGTTGTTTGGGGGAGATTAATTCTTGGGCAATTTTTTTTTCTCCATAAGTTTTGGGTCCAAATATTTTGTTAATCTTAGTTGCATATCTCCTTATTTAGAGCATTGTTTTCAAAATTGACCCAAAAACCTCATTGTTTTTCATTGAGCTTTTTTCTGAAAGTTGACAAATGTTTTTTTATAAACTCGCCTTGAGTCTTATGCTCATTTTCTTGGTAAAATGACCATAAAAAGTGTGAAATTCTTCTAGGTATTCCTTAGTATTTTTGTTTTCTAGAACTAGCCATCCACTTACTATCTATATGCTGCTTAATCAACCATTATTTTTATTTTTGAAAATGAAAAAAAGAGAGAAACCAGTTTAAGAGCCTTTTATTTTTAGAGAATTGTGTATTTATATTTTTAGGCTTATTGATGAACTTTGCTACTGTTGTCATTGAGCCGTTTTGAAACATATGATCCCTTAAGAAACTTTTTTGTGGAAACAATAGAGCATTTTTTAGAATCCGAATAATCATATTTTAGTTCTTCATCCTTATAAGATAAGATTTTTAGTTCACCTTATTTTTTAAAATGCTATGAGCATAAAGTTTTAAGTGTGAGTGTGTAAAGTACATTTTGTCTTTTGAACGAGGGCGTTCAAGTCTTAAGTGTGGGGGTATTTGATAAGTTGGGTTTGGGTTAGTTCTTTTTATTCTTTTTAGGCACTTTTAATATTTTTAGTGTTTGATTTTTAGTTGTTTAGTTTAGTTTTATTTTAATTCTTATTTTTACAATCTTTTATTTTTCTTTCTTAAATAGTAGCTTTTGATCAATTTTTTACATTTATTATTTATATTTAATTTTTCCTAACATAAAATTATTAGATATCTTATTTTTTTGGAGAAAAATGTAGCAAAAGACAGAATTAGAAGTCCAAGTTTTAATGAAGAGATCAAATTTGAGCCGGAGCCCAAACCCAACACAAAAAGAGATCAGCCCACTCCATTTCATTATTTTTCCTCAAGCAACGAAGACAAAATGCAGCGGCTTTCTCCTTCTTCATTAACGCAAGCAGCGAAGGACCAATTCCTTCAACGCTCCAACTTTTCTCCGTAAGATTCGCAACAATTAATCGCCAACGGGAAGAAATTCAACGGCAAGTGGTTCTCCTCGGACTATAAATTGAAGGCAAATTGCAACAATTAACGAAGGGGAAAACACGAGGAACAATGACTAGAGAGCCGCGGCCTAGCCGCGGCGGCGGAGGTGGTGGCGGCCGGCAGACGCAAACCGGTGGCGGCAAAAGCTCCGGCGAGTGGTGGGCAGTCTCCTTAAGGTCCAAATCTTTCAATTTGTTCATCAATTGGTAACCCTATACGTAGTATTTGTCAATTTCTTTTTCTTCTCCAATTCTATGTAAAGGTTTTTTTAAATTCAATTTTACATTTTTTGTTTGTTACTCCACAAAAATTTTATAATAAATATGGTTGGTGTTCTTTTTTGGATTTTTTAATCTTTATATTAAATTCCTTATGAATGACAATTGATTCGAACTAGTTTTCTTCAATTATTGAGCAAGTTGTTGTTGAATTGGTTGAATTGTATAATTTAATTTCATAAGTAGGTTGACATGTGGAATTTGGTTTTTGTTAAAACTATTTTAGCTCTATAAGATAGTTAAATGAACTTCGAATTCATACGTGTTTCTTTGTTGTGCTTGTGTTTGTTGATTTTAGGGAATTTGGACTTCTTAGCCCCATAAGTTGATTCATTTCCTTAGAATTCGTTATAGAGTGATTTTGTTATGTTATGTGTTTTTTTTCATTTCCTCTAAATTGAAATTGTTTAAGTGCAATAAACAATTTTTGATTTATTGAAAATATGTCATGTTCTTCTATGTGAATAGAAAAAAATATCATTGATTTAAGAAGTTCATGGAAATCTATGAAATGTGCTCATCATTAGGGGAAAAAATTTATCAAAATACATAAGATATTAGCGGTTTGTGAATAGATTATGTATGAGAGTTGAATGCATAATAGATTCTCTGTTTTATAAACTTTTTCTATAGTGGAAGTACATTTTCATGCTTGAATAGAGAGTTGGGGTTCTAAGGTATATTTTAAAACGGGCCTTTGAATTCCATGACTCCGGGCCGTATGGAGAGTTGACAATCCTCCATATTGTGGTTAAGGAAATGAATCGACTCGGCATTTGATTGATTTTTCTTATTCTTAAGTGCGTAAATTACGTAATATATTGTCTACGTGCCTATTATACGTGTAATGTTCGATTTGTGTTTGTTATCTTTTTCATTTTGTTGCGGGTTCTCAGCTGTGTTTTTTGGGTTGCCGTAGTTGAAGGAGTTGATTATCTTTAGAGCTTGTTTTCCCCCGTTTTATCAAAAAAACCAAAAAAAAAATAAGAAAAATAAAAATCAAAAAAAATATTTACTTTTCATTCAACCAAAAAAATATTTACTTTTATATAGTATAAATATAAGTTTTTATACTTTCTTAAGTATATTCTAAGTGTGTGTTTTATGTTTATAAGTTATATTATAAGTTCTTTGTTTATATAAGTTATATTTATAAATGTTTATATTTGTTTAGTTATAAGTTTTATTCTAAGTTTTATACGTCTTATCATATGTGTAGTAGTTAGTTTGTTTTGTTAGTGACAATGTGTGTGCATGCTTAATTGATTTCAAAAGTACAAATTTTTTTCATGGGATCGATCCTTACTTGTTCTAGCTATAGTTTTTATTTTATTATATTTTGGGGGTTAGCTAAGGTTATTTATAAATTTTTAATTTGTTTTGGACCTCACGACAGTTACTCAACAATTTCAAGATTTTCCAAATAAAGGGGCTCATTATGCAATGGTTTTATGAGCATGAAGACTATTTTGAAACTTTTGAAAGTTCACTATTTACCCACTTATATAACTCATTTCAAAAATAGGACATATAATGACAAAAATACAAACATATACGGAGTAGTACAAAAAACACCGTCGATTGTCAATATATTGTGCCACATTGTGACATGCAATCGTCTTATTTTGAAGAGTAAAGTGTGAGAATTTTATTTTGAGCATAAGAGCTATACTTGATTCACATTTTAGGTTTTTTTCTTGAAAACATCTACGGAGTAATTAATTGACTTGCTAGAACAAGCTTGACCATGATTTTGATCGTATTTTTTTCTATACAACTATTTGTACAGTACTTCTTTTAAATTTGACGTGAATTCTTATTTACGAGTAAAAATAAACTCCGTAGTTATTTTATATATGCACGTCAAATATTTATACCCAAATCGGTAAAATGTATGGAATGAGAATTCACAATCGTGTTAATTGTAAATACATATTTTGTTGTTCACAAATGAGCAAGTATATATTTTATACTAACAATGTGCCAAAGCATTTGTCTAATTCTTGACTTTTTATAATTGAAATTGATAAACTTTGATTGTTAATTAAATAAACTTTACATTTGATATTAATATAAGAATAATTTTATTAGATTTATCTTGTAAAATACTTTTAAAACATTTTTTTATCAACCTAAAATAACAAGAAATTTTTATTTAGTTATAAGTTAATAGTCGATCTAGATTAACTTCAAAAAAGCATAACTAAATAGACACTCTGATATGGAGGTAGTAAATACATATTTTGATGATTATTTTGCTTTGGTATCTAAACTTTATTTCCCGTCGCAAAAATACATGAACTTTGAAAAATAAGAGTCCTCCAAAGTTAATGTATCTTATGAGACGAAATGAAGTTTAAGTATTCAAGGGAAAGAACTTGGTAAATTTCAAAAGTAGTACCTAAACTTTCACGGAAATTTCGAAAACCTTTCGACATTTCAAAACCTTTAACAAAAGTACCTAAATTTTTATCATCTTTTCATTAAAAGTCTATTTGCTCATTACCATATGACCAACAAATCACTTTGGGCCAAATTGTAAAATCTGAATTTTTATTTTTTCACATTGACCACCATTTATTCTTTTTCTTCTCCTTACACTCCCATAATTTATATTCTTTTCTTTTTCAACTCCATCCCCTTTCTTTCTCTCCTTTCTTTTCCCCACTTTTATTTTAAACAATTAAACAAATAAGTGAATAAAATAAGCCCCAAATAAATAAATGAAAATGAAAAAAACAAGACAAGCGAAAATGTTTTTGATCTTGTTTGTTTCTATTTTGTTTTAGATCTTTTTTATTATTTTCAATCTTCTTTTCTTGATATTTTAATATTATCAATTTGTTTGGCTATGTGTAGTTTTGTGAATTTTTTGTAAGCTTTTTTATATATTTTGTGTAAATAACCATCTTTTTGTTTGCTTTGCTTTTTAAATTTTTTATATTATTTTGTCTTATATTTTTTGTTTACTTTCAAATTTTTGTTGATTACTTTTATATAATTATTTTATCATAGAAATAAATTAAGAGTTTCTAAAAAAAAATTTGTTTGTTTTTTAAACTTTCTCTCGTCTTATTTTTTTTGTTTTTTCTGTATTTATTTAGGGCCTATTTTATTTACATGTTTTATTTAGTTGTTTACAATAAAGATTAAAAACAGACAAAAAAAGTTAACAAACAAAAAAAACAAAATAAGAATCGGTTTGATTTTTTTTTTTGTTTAATTAAATTGATCAAATATAACATAGTTAGAAGAAATGGTAAATAATAAAGATAAAGGAAAAAATAATGAAAAGAAAAAAAAAGAAAAAAAAGAAAAAAAACAAAAAAGAAAACAAAACAAAGAAAAAAAGTAAGAAATGAAAAAAGACATAAAAGAAATAAATAAAAAATTCCAAAAGGAAATAAATAAAAACATAGCAAACAGAAACAAATACAAAAAATTAAAACGGTGAAAAAATTTTTAAAAAGGAAAAAATAAAAAAAGGGCATGATGAAGAAAATTAAAGTAATAAGGAAAGAAATGATAAAAAGTGAAAATAAATAAAAAATAAATAAAGAGTAAAAAAGGATCCAAATGAAAAAAGGGAAAGAATAGCGAATAAGAAAAAAAGAAAAGAAAGAAAAAAATAAAAATAAAAGAAAAGATGGGAAAAAGAAAAAAGAGAAACAAAGAAGAGTGGGTTGAAAAAGAAAAGAATACAATTTATGGGAGTGTAAGGAGAAGAGAAGGAAGAAATCATGGTCAATATTAAAAAAATAAAAATTCAAATTTTTCAATTTGGCTCGAAGTGACTTGGTAATGGGCAAATGAACTTTTAGTGAAAAGATGGTAAAAGTTCAGGTACTTTTGTGAAAAGTTTTGAAATTCTGATACTGAATCAAAATTTTTGTAAAAGTTGAGGTACTATTCTTAAAATTTACCTGGAAATAACTCTCAAAGTTCAGGTACTACTGTGAAAGAAATGAAATCTATGCCAAAAGAGAAAGACTTAGAAGGTGTTTTAGAGTGGATTTGAAAATAATTTATAACTTCTACATTACTAAAACACTATTTTAAGAGGATGTTGGGAGTAAATTTGAATATAACTTACGCGGAGCACCTCTACTTTACTATTTGGGTAAGGTTCAAATGACATTGGGAACCAATGTCTTGGGATGACCCGGGAGTGCTCCGGTGCCCCTTTCGTAAAATTGACGATTCCTACCCCCAACCCCCCAATAAATCCCCCCACCCCTCCCCGACCTGAACACACATCCCACCCCCGTCAATTACACCCCACAAGTTGATTTTGACTTTGGAGTCAAATTTTGACTCTAAAGTCAAAATCAACTTTTGGGGTGCAATTGAAGGGGGTGGGGGGTGTGTTTGGGTCGGAGAGATGTGGGGGGGGGGGTTATCGGGGGGAGGGGGAGGGGTTAGAGGGTAGGAATCGTCAATTTTACGAACGGGGTAACGGAGCCCCCCGAGTCATCCCATGACATTGGGAACCAATTTCATGGAACCTTGGTGGAAAAACAATTTTAAATGTTTGTCAATACAAATTATGACTTTAAAAGTAGAAAGTAAGGTTTAGAAGTGTTTTCCAAGAACATTAAAAATAACTATTTATTGTTTCTAACATATGACTTCTTTTTTTCTGTCACTATATTTCCAAACACT